CCCCAAAACCCCAAAACCCCAAAACCCCAAAACCCCTTTAATAATTGGATCAATTGAATTATAATTTTTTCTAAAATACAAGAAATATGGCACGTAATGAAGAGAAAGCAATGGCTATGCTTAACAGATGGGTTACCATGAAGAAGATGCTAGCCACTGGTATTCCAGAAGAAAGACCTAATAACCCTAGCAAAGTTGCCTCGATTTCAGGATGCGAAGTAAGTAATTTCAGAAGAATTTTGAGCATTTAATGAACTATGTCTGAGCTTATGTATAGATCTGGAGAAGACAAGTGATCGAAGATGTAACAAAATAAGGTCGGAGATATCCAGAATGCAGCTCTTGGAGAGCAGAAGTTGAGGGATCTCAATGATGAAATCAACAATTTAATGAAAGAAAAGCGTCGATGGGAGTCAAGAATCAGACAACTTGGAGGTGCAGATTACTCAAAGATGAATTCTAAAGCTCTGGAAGCTGAAGGATTACATCTTCCTGGATCTGAAGATTACTATTACTATGGTGCTGCGAAAGATCTTCCACAAGTCAGAGAGTTATTTGATAGAGATAAGCCCTCTGCTCCTGTGAAAAATTATGTTGAAATGGCTAAAAAGGTTGGATATGAATATTTTAATAATAAAATTTCTAATTCTCTTAGAAAAGAGGAGGAAGATCTCGAAGCTAAACTTCGTAAGGAAGCTATTGAAGCTTATAATTTGGAAAGTCAGGATCCTCAGAACTCCACCAAAAGAATGAAGACTGGAGAGAATGAAGAAGACGAGAAAATCATCAAAGCTGGCTTAGATTGTGATGAAGATGAGTTCGAAAATATACATACAAATAATGTAATGTCCATCTCCACTCAAAGTTTGATGGAGACCAAGATCACAGCTGATGACATTAAGAAGTTGATTATCAAAAAGAAGAAGGAAGCATTGATCCGCAAGTATGCAAGCGAGGCTCTTGAAGAAGATCCAAATGAGAAAAATTTAAACATTATTGAAGATTAATAAGTTTTATCTTCAATCTGAGAAGATAGCTCAGGGGTTTTGGGGTTTTGGGGTTTTGGGGTTTTGGGG